GCTACCTCTTAATATTAATATTAAGAGCTCAAACTTTAGGAGAATTTTTTTTTCGTCATCTTGGACGATATTTTCATGGTACCTAAAGAAAAAAAAATAAAAGTTTTTTTTTGGCCCACCCTAATATATATACATATACATATATTTATATTATTAATGTTACAAGTACCCGACCTACTGCCGTAAATTATTGATATATAATATAGGTCGGGTATGGACATCCTTTTAACATATTAGTATTTATTGAGTATTAAGGCTTAAAGAAAAAGGAAGTATAATACTTACCAAAAAATAAGAATGTCCTCTTATGGATTCACCGTAATTAAAATTTAACTGAACAAAAATGCTACACTTTCACAACGCGGATATGCACTGCGTAGGTAGATAGGTACTAACCAAACATTTTAAAACGAATTTCGGTTATTACCAGTTTTTTCAGTCTATTTTGCCACTATTGGTGTAATTTAACTTTAATTGTGATACAATGTGCATTAGTAGTGAAAAGAAAAAAGAGCTCTTAGTAACATCAAAACAGACAAAGAAATTGGCATGCACTGTAGTGTACATTTTGTCACTATTTAACACATTAAGGGGTAATAAACACTCCCATTAAGTTTTTCTACCCTTTTGATTTACTTTAATAATAAATAGTGTGAATGTACCAATGAATAATGTTCATATTCCTTAAATGTGTTTAATAATCTTAATAAGCACTAAATGCTACCTAGTGTATTTTTTAGTGTAACTTTTACACTCTAATATTTTTACCCCTACACTAAAAAATTTACACAGGCAAAATTTTTTACTTTTGGAGGCCTGTAATTTTTAGGAATGTTCGCTGAATTTCAAATAAATGTTACAATGGTCAGGACATATAGGCATAATGTACTAATTTTACAATTTAGATAAAACAACTAAACACGTAGAGAATAAGGCACTTTGATTGCTAAAATGTTATTTCAAAATACATAAAAAATATACATAAAATTTAACAAATATTTTGGTTATTTAAACAAAACAAGTTGTGTTTTTTACCTACCAAACCCCAAATAAATCATGACACATTTTGAACCACTGTCAAGTCAACCTTCATAAAACAGTGTTTTGTTTTCCGATGCGATGTTTTCATCTTGCAGAATCAAAACACCCGTGACGCCGTATAAAAATACTTAAAGGAAACCGGTATTGAAAATTACTTATAATCTCACAAACATGCCAAATGGAAAAATTAAACAAAAGAATACCTGAATGCTTCTTTACGAGTTCGACGAACTTTTCCAATTCCATTTCAAACAATTTGACATCCACCTGAAGAATGCCGCACGCATTATTATTCGTTTGTTTTGAACGCTTGACGTGCGACACGCATTTAATGTGCGTGTCGCATGGTGTGCAAGCATACTCTCTAAAAATGAATTAGGTAGTCAAAAATGTTAAGTAAAGATCCCTATTCGTCCAACAATTGCTTTTGTTACGGCAAAAAGATCATTTTTATAAAAATTATTTATCTACAGTAATAGCATTTGCATTAATTATGAAGTAAATTTACGTTATGTTTATAAAAAAACACTCTTCCAGATGCAGAAACGCATTGATAAATATAGTTATTAAAATTTGTCAAAAAAAACAGTTCTATATCGTTTACAAAAACGTTTTGTTTGGTTTTTGTTGACTATTTTTGGAAACTATTTTCCAAAAAGAAAAATCAAATAAAAAACTTACTGAGCATAGTTTGACAGATTAAATTTATAGGTTGAGTGATATACAACTAGATTATTTCTCGAATTAAAGGAAACTATTTGACAATTCATAAAATCTCACGTATGTGTCAAAATTTATAAATATTTTTTTAAAGACAATTCCATTAATTTAAGGTATGTAATAAGTATTAATTGATATTTCGTAAACTAGATACCTTATTTTTTATTGTTTTTTAAAAAATGTTTGTTAAAACTTGTAAATAACACCATAAAATCGTAAACAAAAATCCAATATGGAGGCTAAAATTTAATCGCTGTTAAATAGTTCTAGTGATTTAATCGCTTATTTAAACTAAATTTATTCGAAAATTCAAGGCTTTTGATTGGTTCATATTATAATGAGGAAAATAATCATAGAAATTTTGTAAATTTTACAAATCCCTTTTTGTTTAAAATAAAACTTTTTTTATAATATGTATTATTAAAATTTATGTAAATTTAACAACAAATTAATTGTTAATTCAATAAACTATTTTCTTTTTAACAATGGTAATATTTTCAACCTAGTTGGGTGTTGGGTAGTTTTTTTAAAATAATTGCAAGGCATCAAAACAAATTATTTATTATAACAAAAAAATTAACTCATATTATATGATGTACAAAATAAAAAAATATGAACTCACTTTTTAAACAACAAGTCTGCTCCGTTTATAGAATAGACCTTAAATATTTCTTTTAGAAAACGTCAAAATTTTAATTTTCTTAGTGATCTTTTTGATATTTGTATCATCCTAGATTTTAACCACACTTACTTGCACAAGTGAAATCAATAATATAACACAGACTGTGGATAATAAAGTTATGTTCACCAAGGAGAGCGCTGGCCCTTTCCCCCTTTTTTTTAAGGGAAATAACTAAAATTTTGTAACCATTGCAAAACAATAGTAAATATTAAAAAAGTCTTTTTATAGCAATAAAATATTTTTGTTATTGTTCTTAACCTAAGCTATTAACAAAGATTTTCTAACTGAAATAAAATTAATTTGAATTACAACGATAGTAATTTAAAAAAGACAAATATGCTATACACGGTGGTCAAAACTAAAGTATAGGACGAACAAAAATGCCAACCAACCTGATAGCATAATCTAATTATAGACTCTTTTGGTAACACAAAAATATATTTATCAAAATCCCAGCTGATCCTTTATTAAAGTTAAGTTAAGTTAAGTAAAGAATATTTCTTAGTATTTTAAAATTGTTTATGCCATTTCGATAAAATGCTCTAGTACCATTATCAAATGGTTTTAAAATTTGGCAGATACATGACTGAAATATGGATAAATTACATTATAAATACAAAATAATGTAAAATACAGTTTGCAATATCTTATTTATTGTTTTAAGGTACCTAATACAAAACTAATAAATAACTAAAGATTCTTTGAAGCAAAATCGATTACTGCTTGCTTTAAATTTTCAGTAAAACTTTTTCTTGGGTTTTACATGGAATTGTTTTTAACATGAAAACAGTATTTTTAAATTCTTCAGTCTCTGTACAAATATGCTTCTTACATCTAGCGATATCCCCTAGAAAGGAAGAGCATATCAAAACTTTAGTTCGTTTGTCCGTCCTCTTCCCTTATTAATTTTTTATGCCCTTTATATCTTGCCATTTTGCAGATAAAGCACATACATTCTTGGCTGCCGCGAAATTCTCTAGCAATTTCTAAATTTTGAAAATTTGGCAATTGTGGCTATGCAAAAATACCGTTTTTACCATATTGAAGTAGGTAATTTTGAATCACTTAAGTTTGAAAAAGTCTGCAGTATTTTTTAAATTTTCTCAGAAACCCTAAACTCTGAATTTTTCGATTACCAAAAACAATTTTGTCTCCACAGCCAGCACATACCTTCTTTCGATTTTCTTCATGGCTTAACTTGAATTTCGGTTTAATTTTCATTTTAAAATACCATTTTTAACTTTATAAAGTATACATTAAATAAACAACTAAAGCAAAATGTCACTTGCGTTATAAAGTAGGTATAGCAATTTTTTTCATAACCACCTTAATTATTGTTTTACAAAATTTGCAAGTTGTAATTATTTCATAGACAAACTTCCAGTTTTTTTTTATAAAAAATATTTAAGATATAAATCTTCGTTTTTTTTGTTATGTTTTGTTTTGAGTTTTAAAAAATAATAGGTGACTCAATATATTAATACTGGGGAGTAAAGTAATTTAAATGATACAAAGTTTATTATTTTGCTTAATTTTATTAAAATTGTACAGGTAGTTTTAGTACAATAATTGCAAAATAATATATAGAAATAGAAAAACAAAAAGTTTGCAAAACTTTAAAATAGGATCAGCTAAATCCCATGGGATTTTGATAAATACATGTTAGTGTTACCAAAAGGGTCTATAATCAAAATATGCTATCAGTTTTGGATGGCATTTTTGTTCGTCCTATATATAAGTATACTTAAGTTTTGACCACCTTGTACAAGATTAATAGCTACTTCCCTAATGATTTTTAAATATGTAAAATACACATTATAACCAGAATGAACACCTATTTAGATAAGCTAAATCGACTTGACATAGGTCAACGACTGCAAAAAAAATTGTCCTTGGTGATACCTAAAACTGTTTTAGAAATAACAATGAACAATTTTTTACCGTTTAATTTTAGTAGGTAGCTGAAAATAAAAATATTCGATGCCATACCTCAAACTTCATTGCATTTGAACAAAAAATGAGCAAAGTCAACAATCTCCCGTCAGACTAAAACTGAGTAAATTAAGATAATTGATTATCTCTACAAGGTCTCCAGGATGCATAGTATAGGTGAAATCTATAATTATAAATTGGAGATTGCTGACTTTGATATGAATTGCTGGAGATTGCTCATTTTGTTGTAAACATTTAAGGAGATTTAGAAAAATAAACAAAAAAATAATTGTATTTTTCTCCCTTTAATGGTTATAAAATTTAACAATACAATCAATGTGGGAAAATTCTGAACTGGACCACATAAATCTGGAGTTTCTTCTAAATCTGGGACCAGGTTGCCTCGTGCAAAAAATTTTTTATAGTACAACAACTCATCATCTCCTTCCCACTTTGCCCTGTAATGTTTTACTTGCAATGTTTTGACATTATCACTGATAATTTATCAGCCTTTTCTTGGTTTACTTTTACTTTTTCCGAATTAAAAAAAAAAAATAATTTAGTAAAATTTTTTATTATACATAAAACGTAAAAATAAATAACAAAAAATAAATAAATTAACCAACTAACTACAAACACATGAGTCCTCGACGTTGTACTTAATCCAGTTCAAATATTTGGACACCCTGGTGTACACCCCTGGATAGCCGGGCCTGGCGCATCCCACCCCCCAAGAAACGATCCCCACTATCTCGAATTTGTCCCCGTTCTGCACCAAAAGAGGACCGCCACTGTCCCCCTGACAGGAATCCATGGCCCCCTTCCCAGCGCATAGCATGTACGAGGTGATTCTGGACGCCCTGTATTTCATGGCCCTGCACTGCGAGAGGGTCAGGATGGGGACCTCCACCTCTTGAACTATACTGGGGAGCATTCCCCCCTCGGCTGTGCGCCCCCAACCCACCACTGTGCCCAGTTTACCAGACGGATCCAAAGCTTAAAAATGTATAGGTTATGATCGTGCTTTTCACCTTGTATATTTTTAATGAAAAGTGTTTTACCACTTACAAGTTACTTGAAATATTCCCCAACACAAAGTCCCACCCAAAATTTTGATTTTTTAAATTTAAATTAAAAAATTAAATTAAAGGGTGCCGATTAAAAGTAAAGAATCCAAAAATCCATCATCCTCAATTTTTTTTATCAAAATAAAAAATCAAGCAGCGCACCCCATTTGGTGTTTTTATTTGGTCATATTGGTCACAATATTTTTATGATTTTGCTAGTAGTTGCGATATTTTTATGGCAATAAATTTTGTTTAACACCAAAGAAAATCCTTTTTTTCTTCTTTAATATTAACAACCGCTTATTGTAAATAAGTAAACTAAGGATGGAAGTATAAATAAAATACCAATTATAGGCTAAGGTTAACTGAACCAAATTTGTTTGGTGTTGGGGAATATTTCTGATATTTGTTCACTTACAAGTTGGTAGACATATTGGTTTGATGTTTTTCGTGTATTCCACAGGCTTTCTGAGCTTCAATAGGGCTATATCGTGGTTGTAAGAATCAGAATCAAAGTTTCTGTGCCTCACAATTGACGCGACGGCTCTCATTTTCGCTGGAACATCAGTAGTGGTGGACTGATCATGATCACCAAGTATAATTCGTATTTTTGACCTCTTTAATCTAAAAAAATAAAAATTATTATTTTTTGTGCAACACCCAATGGAGTTTATAAGCTATACACAGTGGTCAAAACTTAAGTATAGGACGAACAAAAATGCCAACCAAAACTGATAGCATATTTTGATTATAGACCCATTTGGTAAAACTAACATGTATTTATCAAAATCCCAGCTGATCCTATTTTAAAGTTTTGCAAACTTTTTTGTTTTTCTATTTCTATTTATTATTTTGCAATTATTGTACTAAAACTACCTGTACAATTTTAATAAAATTAAGCAAAATAATAAACTTTGTATCATTTAAATTACTTTACTCCCCAGTATTAATTTATTGAGTCACCAATTATTTTTTACCACTCAAAACAAAACAACAACAAAAACGAAGATTTATATCTTAAATATTTTTTATAACAAAAAATACTGGAAGTTTGTCTATGAAATAATTACAACTTGCAAATTTTGTAAAACAATAATTAAGGTGGTTATGAAAAAAATTGCTATACGTTATAACATAAGTGACATTTTGCTTTAGTTTTTTATTTAATGTATACTTTATAGTATAATAATAATAGTATTTTAAAATGAAAATTAAACCGAAATTCAAGTTAAGCCATGAAGAAAATCGAAAGAAGGTATATGCTGGCTGTGGAGACAAAATTGTTTTTGGTAATCGAAAAATTCAGAGTTTAGGGTTTCTGAGAAAATATAAAAATTACTGCAGACTTTTTCAAACGAACACTTTAACTTAAGTGATTCAAAATTACCTACTTCAATATGGTAAAAACGGTATTTTTGCATAGCCACAATTGCCAAATTTTCAAAATTTAGAAATTGCTAGAGAATTTCGCGGCAGCCAAGGATATATGTGCTTTATCTGCAAAATGGCAAGATATAAAGGGCATACAAAATTATTAAGGGAAGAGGACGGACGAACGAACTAAAGTTTTGATATGCTCTTCCTTTCTAGGGGATATCGCTAGATGTAAGAAGCATGTTTGTAAAGAGACTGAAGAATTTAAAAATACTGTTTCCAAGTTAAAAACAATTCCATGTAAAACCCTTAGAAAAAGTTTTACTGAAAATTTAAGGCAAGCAGTAATCAATTTTGCTTCAAAGAATCTTTAGTTATTTATTAGTTTTGTATTAGATACCTTAAAACAATAAATAAGATATTGCAAACTGTATTTTACATTATTTTGTATTTATAATGTAATTTATAAATTATATCCATATTTCAGTCATGTATCTGCCAAATTTTTAAAAACATTTGATAATGGTACTAGAGTATTTTATCGAAATGCCATAAACAATTTTAAAATTCTAAGAAATATGCAAAACTTTAATAAAGGATCAGCTGGGATTTTGATAAATACATTTTTGTGTTATCAAAAGAGTCTACAATCAGATGTTATCAGTTTTGTTTGGCATTCTTGTTCATCCTATACTTTAGTTTTGACCACCGTGTATAAGCCCAGTCAAAATATAGTTTCCCTTTTGCTGTTTTGCAAAACAAACTTTTCTTACTTTCTGACGCAATGGGCCGCTGTAAGGACATAGTCGTTGCTCAGTAGAGATGCTCCGCAGTGAAACCTACCATCGTAGACGATCCTAGCCACCCATGGGTACCTGTTTACGCCTGTAGGTCGACCACCAACAATACGGTTTTCTTGGTTCGACAAGCCGCATTCTGAAAATACGAATACGCTTATTTGACGTTGGTGTCGTACAAGATGTAAAGTAAATTTTATAATATTTATTAATCATATAAAAGAACTATTGGGTAATTTCATATCAAATCAATAAAAAAAAAAGGAAATTTTGTTTTCAATATCTCCGATTATGATTATTTAAGGTAAAGTTGTTCTACGTCCTGAAAAACTCGAAAACCATAAGTTTTAATTTTTTTTAAACGGGTGTTTCTCTTTTATGGATTTTTAAAAATCAAGAAATTTACCAATTTTGCCTCTGCAGGCTCTTAAAACAACATATAGGAGGTGTGTTCATAAAATAACGGGAATTGTTAAATTTCGCGGGTTCGGAGGGTCCGGTTGTCATAAAATTTTCTTTATTATATTGGTATACATGCCCCCGAAGTATGATAAAAACTTTAGCGGTTTTCATTGTTTACTTTGTCTGCGGCAGCCGCTAAGGTTAGACGTGTTTTATGAGCTCGGCGATTTTTCGTTCGTTAAAAGAAATGGATCAAAGAATTTGTATCCAATATTGCTTAAAAAAAAATTCTGTGAAATGTTAACAAAGGCCTATAGAGAGTCTGCTATAAGTAAAACAAGAGTTTACAAGTGGTATAAGAGTTTCCAAGATGGCCGTGAAGACGTTGAAGATGACGAACGCCTCGAACGCACAAGCGTATTAACAACCGATAAAAACATGGAAAACGTGGAAGAAATGGTTATAAACCATCAGAGAAGTCGCTGATGATGTTGGTATATCGATTGGCTCATCTCATGAAATTTTTTCGAATGTTTTGGGGATGAAACGCGTGGCAGCAAAATTTGTTCTAAAATTGTTAAATTTTGAACAAAATTTTTCGCCAAAAAGAATACTGTAATGATGCCCCAGCCTGCATATTCGCCAGAGATGCCTCTGTCTGACTTTTCCTATTCCCAAAAATAAAGAGAACCTTAAAGGGCCGTCGTTTTGCAAGCATAGATGACATTAAAAGCGCATCGCTGAAAGAACTAAAGGCTATCCCAAAGATCCAGTTTTAGAAGTGTTTCGAGTATTGGAAGAAGAGCTGGCACATGTGCATAATATCCAATGGGGACTATTTTGAAGGCGACAACATTAATTTAGACGAATGAATAAATATTTGTTTCAAAAAACGAAAATTCCCGATATTTTCTGAACACACCTCGTATAATATACAACATATATTATGTATAATAGGTTTGTTCTAGCATCAAATTTCTGAAGGATTGAGCAACTGCGCGTTTTAATCTGAAGTCTTGTTGCAAACGGTTTGAGGCAATTTTCTGCTAGTTACCAATGTACCCTGGTATAGACCCTATAGGGTCTTAAAACTTACCACAAGAGCATGTTTTAGATTCTTCACCACTGGAGTCAGAATCTGAATCCGAATCTTCGCCACTAACAATGTCAGCTATGGGGTTAGCAATGGGACCGGTAAAAAAATTAGTAATTGCAGAAAATTGGTTGAACAAAAATTTACTTTTTCTATCATGTCCTGGAGTTGACTTATTGTGATGCGATTGGATATTATTCTAAAATTAAATATACAATTTTAGAAATTAAATAGTTAACCTACTTCTGAGTAATAATTTAATAAAAATTATTACTTTCGTGAAAAACTATTATTATTTTACAGAATATAATAAAATATTTTTAGGTACTCACATCGTTGATATTATTAACTTTAGAAGTGGTTACTAAAATTTGGCAAAGACAAAACAAAATCACGAACTTATAAAACATCTTACTTTAAAACAAAAAACATCGCACTCAACTTAACCTAAAAGTTTTGCAAAACTAGGAAAGCGCGCGTACGGCGCTGAGTTTATTAAACAATTGAAATAATTTGGTTCAAAGAAAATCGTAAGTGAGTCGTTAGCGGTCACGTGGTACTTTCACCCGTCTACTACGATGCGTGAATCTTTCACTGGACCTTGAAGAAAGTGGCCAACTTGATGGCAAAACCTGCGTTTTGGCGGTGACACAAGTGCCAATGGAGTAAAGGGGGCTAGTATGGCCAATTTTTTTGAGACAGATTATTTTTTTACTGTTAATAAAATTCTCATTTACTATAATGAAGCAGCAATGTAGAGCTTTTATAAAAAAAAATGTTCATCCAATAAAGTAATAGTTGTCATGGCAATAAGAAATACTCTATGTTTATATTAAATCTTTGTGTGAATTTCGCTTACATAAAGTAATGCGCAGTTGTTATAGTAAAATTTGTTCATTTTACTATGGCATATTTGTCTTTTTTAAATTACTATCGTTGTAATTCAAATTAATTTTATTTCAGTTAAAAAATCTTTGTTAATAGCTTACCTTAAGAACAATAACAAAAATATTTTATTGCTATAAAAAGACTTTTTTAATATATACTATTGTTTTGCAATGGAAACAAAATTTTTGTTATTTCCCTTAAAAAGAGAGGGAAAGGGCCAGCGCTCTCCTTGGTGAACATAACTTTATAATCCAGTCTGTGTTATAATCTTATTGAATTCACTTGTGCGAGTAAAGTGTGGTAAAATCTAGCATGATAAAAATATCAAAAAGATCACTAAGAAAATTAAAATTTCGACGTTTTCTAAAAGAAATATTAAGGTCTATTCTATAAACGATGCAGACTTATTGTTTAAAAAGTGAGTTCATTTTTTTTATTTTGTACATCATATAACATGAGTTCATTTTTTTGTTATAATAAATAATTTGTTTTAATGCCTTGCAATTATTTAAAAAACTACCCAACACCCAACAGTAGGTTGAAAATGTGACCATTGTTACAATGAAAGTAGTTTATTGAATTAACAATTAATTTGTTGTTAAATTCACATAAATTTTATTAACATTATATAAAAAAAGTTTTATTTTAAACGAAAAGGGATTTGTAAAATTAACAAAATTTCTATGAATTATTATTGTTTGTAGATAAATAATATTGTTATATTTATTAAAAAAAATTCTGAGTGTACAATTGTGTGTAGATTTAGCCAGTCAAAATATGTATTATGTTGAGCAGTGTACATTTTTCTATTTATCTAATTGAATTATTTGTTCATTGTTCCATAACTCGGGATGAAAGTGAAAATACTGAACAGGTTGAGTTTAAATTTGTTCAGTTTTTATCGGGCATTCCTTTTGTCCATTGTATTACTTTTACTTGCTATAATGGGCAGTAAATATTACTAAATAGTGTGTAACGGTTTTAACTGTTTCTCTTTTCGTTTGAATTTGGATTTCGTTTTTATAGTACCTTTGCTGAATAACTTATACTTTCGTTTTGAGGAAGGAATTCACAAAATGTGAAACAAGATTTTATAGGATTTAATTTTTCAATCCAATGCAATTATTGTAAAAACATTATTATGTTGCCATGAATTCGTAGGTATATTTTGTTGTTTAAAATGCAGTTGTCGGCGTTTTTTAGAGAAATCAAATATAAAAATGTTCGATTTTAAGGTTATGTTTGTGCAACAATAATTTTTTACTAATTTCTTAAAAATGTCCAAACTTAAATATAAATTATATTAGGTAAAGTTATCATTAGTTAATTCTGCACCAACAAATGTACTTACCGAATTGGATCCTTTGGCAAAACATGAAAATGCACCGATTTAGTTCTTGAATTTTATTTACAATTAAAAACACAATAATTCACCATGATCCCTTAGATAAAATACACACACTAACCTAACTATACAAGCATTTAAGCGCTGAGTTTCTTAACCAATGTTATAAAGAATAATTATTCTTATTATTAATTAATTATTCTTATTATTATTATAATCAATCGAAATCGAGTACTAAACCAGTTTTTTAGTTTTTTCCTTGCAACGTAAAACACAAATAACGTGCGCGATTTAGCTGTGCAATTGAACGAAATTTGTCGAGTAAGACTTCTGCCTTACTCTCTTTTGTAAAAAAAACTACCAATTTATTTAAAAATGATGTACAGTTCTTATGCTTTAAATGTATTGTTGACAATTCTTAAATTCACCAGATGGCGCGCGCGTTGCATAAAACCCGATACTTCTTTAGCGTATATTTAAGTTTTTTATTGTCTTTTTTGCAAAAATTAATAGGGAAAGTTAAATAATAAAATAAACAGCTTTTATAATAAAACAACAAAGAAATTAAAAGTTAATTGTAGGTATTTTTATTCGGTATTTGGCACATTTACATATAATTAAAAAATTGGACTAAAATTAAATTTTACAAAGTACCTATTTATATTTACTTAATATATTAAAGACTAGATTCTTAAATGGCGTTATACACAAAACAAATATATCAACATTACAAAATAGTGAATAAAAAGTTGATATAATAATTATTATATTCATTTGTATGTATGAGGCCAAAACGGTTTGTTTTATTTTATAACTTTGGCAAGACTGATTAGAAATTAATTTTTTTTTATTTTTTCTTATGGCATAAACATTCCCCATTTAATGTTTCATAAACCCAATCCAGATAATTTGTTACTTTGGTGTAAACTCCTGGTAAATTAGGTCTGGCACAGCCTCGTCCCCAAGATACAAGCCCTGAAAAAATATTAAAAAAATTAAATTATTTTAATAGATTAATAACCTCTACGTGGCTACGTCAGAAATTAATTGATATTATTTTGATTGATTGACAAGTCAAAGTGTATAATAGTTATTTAGTGTCCTATAGTGTGTTAAGTTGAAAATAAATCACGCGAGAAAGATTTATACCACGAGGCCGTCAGGCCGAGTGCTATAAATTCCCAAGTGACTTAGGAAACATAACACGTGTGGCATACAATGTTTTATCCAACAAGTGGAAAAAATCTTTTTTTATGAGATAATAATTAATAAGCTTTGTGATCAAATGAAAGCTACTTGCGTCTCAGTACCCTATAAATGTCAGAATGACTTGACAATGACTTTTTTACATTTTGGTCAAAGTTTGTTGTTTGTTTGGTTGCCACGGGCATGATACATTGTTAGCAAATGTTTAAATAAATTTTGACACTTGTCAGTTTTCCCTG